ATCAAGCAAGGAAAGCTTAAGTAGCCATCTGTAAACCATTTTCCAAAAACATTTCTGTTTGAGTAACAGTGTTCTTTTACTTATTGCCCACAATATCAAAGTTCCTCTCCCCCTTCCTTATATTTTCCATTTGTATACGTTTACTTTCAATCAAGCAAGGGATCCTCTAGTTACTCTCAGGAAACTATTTGTTTCTGACACAAAACACACAGAAAGACAATTACTTGTGTTCTGCAGAAGCATGTGTTTTGCCTCTAATTGCTGCTGTCAATATAAAAGTGTAATGGTGACTGCCAAATACAGAGTCCATTTATCAGTAAAATACTGATTAGTGAATAAAAAAAACATCATTTTGCTAAGACGCTCTGACCAAGTTTTGTAAAATTCAATGAGTTTGACAAAGTTATTCAAGTTTATAAAATCTTTCACAGTCTGTACCTTAACAATGACTGCGAAAAGAACTAAGTCCATTTACATTGTATATGTACAATACAGATGAATAGGTGGGGGAAGAGGAAAATAGTCAATAGGAAAATCTCTTGGAATTTTAGCAAATTCAGGATACTTATAACACAGAAAATAGAAAAAAGCGCTTGAAAATGTTTGATATTCACTTAGCAATTGAGTTCAGAATCAAAATTCACAAATGTAATATGCTCAGAATTTAAAATTCAAACAGCCATTTAGCAAAACAGAATGTTTTATTTAATCAAAAGTCAATATATTCTAAGAGATCCCTGACACAAATCTGATGTCTACAAGAGCAACAAATATCTGATTAGAAAGTACAATGAAATTAAACAGTGTTATATAATGGTCCTTACTTTCATCAATTCTTTCTTATAAATTTCTCTTGACATCAACAGTTCTTCACATCAAGTACAAAATAAATTAATTTTCTACTGTGAACTACCACATTTTCAAACCAAATTTTCTAGAACTGCTTGTTTTGAGGTAAAGATTCTTTACTCATATCACTAAATGAAAGAAAGATGTATCTTTCAAGCAGTGGAGATTTGTCTAATCCTAAATCAGTGTTATCCATTTAAGTCCATGCAGTGTCTAACATTTGACATCCATACACCTGAGAATTCAATTTGGACCTGTTGACTGGTTTTTCTGTATGTGACACACTTAGCAATCATATTAAATAGAAACCAGACAAATTTGACTTAATATTATCAGCTGCTTTCAAGTTTTAAATCATAGTTCTGTATATTTCTTGGACAACTTAAACCTGGAAATTGTTTTAAAGCACAAAGGGAGATAATTCATTTTTCTTACTTGACATTTTTCTTTACACTTTTATTAACTAAACTTTTTGGAAACTGAAAGGACTATTCAGATGATAAATTTCAATCATTTGCAGACATTACATGTTGAAAGCCGTACTTTGACCTTTAATGGTATACTTTTACAAATTGTGACTTGGATGGAGAGTTGTCTCATTGGCACTCATACCACATCTTCTTATATCTATTAGATCAGATAACTATCAGACTAAGATACCTGTTACAGCATGTCTTTATAATCTAGTACTAATAGTCCATAACTGCCAATTACTGACACATTTATATCTACATCAATAGCATAAGAACATGTAAGCTCATAATAGTCTGTGCATCCAGATCTGATTTGTACTATATAAGCATGTCTGAAGACATGGGGTCTAGAGTATATCTAAATCTGTTACATTGATCTTAAAGTTGAACCAACATCCTCACTATCATAATTTCTTTTAAGAGTTTTAGAAGTTATCAAAATATTAATAAATTGTGTACTAGGAGCTAACATATTGTGTAAATTTGTGACCTTAAAGAGATTTGGACTATTTAAAGTTAGTTGCTTTTTGTCTTTGTACTTCTATTTTGTCTTGGGAGTCAGATTTTGGTGGTTGATGTGGTCTGTTGTACTGTTAAATCTTTATTGGTAATTACTACTATCATTTCGATGTCATAGTAGATTACAACATTAATAAACAGGTTAATCTGTTAAACAGTTGTAACGTAGTCCAAGAAAAAATGGTACAAATTGACATAAAATGTCCTTGACCTTCATGATATATTTCAAACTTGGTTTCAAATGTATTCTTTTCAATTTAACTGAAAACCAGAAACAAACTTATCTGGTTTGGTTTCACACATACATACATGGACAGCAGATTTCAAGTCTTCATGTCATGTTTTTCTAAAATGCTTCACATATATTATTAGGAAAAAATACTTGTGAATTACAAAAGAAGCAACTACATAGCCCATGAATTTAAAAATTTAAGCCAAAAATAACTTTGTTCTATACCATTTGTGTTTTATATTGGACAACAGGTGTATGTAAATGATTCCTGTGATAGAGAAACCAACTTTACATACAAAATGTCAGACCTTACAGTTGATAACAAAATCTTGTCGTTTGTGTATTATACTAGATTTACAGAACAAGAAAGTTACCAAGACAATAACCAACACCAGAACTACTAATAAAGACTAACATCAAAGGTTACCAAGACGATCACCTACACCAGAATTACTAAGAAAGACTAACATCAAAGGTTACCAAGATGATCACCTACACCAGAATTACTAAGAAAGACTAACATCAAAGGTTACCAAGACAATAACCAACACCAGAACTACTAATAAAGACTAACATCAAAGGTTACCAAGACGATCACCTACACCAGAATTACTAAGAAAGACTAACATCAAAGGTTACCAAGACGATCACCAACACCAGAACTACTAAGAAAGACTAACATCAAAGGTTACCAAGATGATCACCTACACCAGAATTACTAAGAAAGACTAACATCAAAGGTTACCAAGACGATCACCTACACCAGAATTACTAAGAAAGACTAACATCAAAGGTTACCAAGACGATCACTTACACCAGAATTACTAAGAAAGACTAACATCAAAGGTTACCAAGACGATCACCAACACCAGAACTACTAAGAAAGACTAACATCAAAGGTTACCAAGACGATCACTTACACCAGAATTACTAAAAAGACTAACATCAAAGGTTACGAAGACGATCACCAACACCAGAACTACTAAGAAAGACTAACATCAAAGGTTACCAAGACGATCACCAACACCAGAACTACTAAGAAAGACTAACATCAAAGGTTACCAAGATGATCACCTACACCAGAATTACTAAGAAAGACTAACATCAAAGGTTACCAAGACGATCACCTACACCAGAATTACTAAGAAAGACTAACATCAAAGGTTACCAAGACGATCACTTACACCAGAATTACTAAGAAAGACTAACATCAAAGGTTACCAAGACGATCACCAACACCAGAACTACTAAGAAAGACTAACATCAAAGGTTACCAAGACGATCACTTACACCAGAATTACTAAAAAGACTAACATCAAAGGTTACCAAGACGATCACTTACACCAGAACTACTAAAAAGACTAACATCAAAGGTTACGAAGACGATCACCAACACCAGAACTACTAAGAAAGACTAACATCAAAGGTTACCAAGACGATCACTTACACCAGAACTACTAAAAAGACTAACATCAAAGGTTACGAAGACGATCACCAACACCAGAACTACTAAGAAAGACTAACATCAAAGGTTACCAAGACGATCACTTACACCAGAACTACTAAAAAGACTAACATCAAAGGTTACCAAGATGATCACCTACACCAGAATTACTAAGAAAGACTAACATCAAAGGTTACCAAGATGATCACCTACACCAGAATTACTAAGAAAGACTAACATCAAAGGTTACCAGAAGATCACCAACACCAGAACTACTAAGAAAGACTAACATCAAAGGTTACCAAGACGATCACCAACACCAGAACTACTAAAAAGACTAACATCAAAGGTTACCAAGACGATCACCTACACCAGAATTACTAAGAAAGACTAACATCAAAGGTTACCAAGACGATCACCAACACCAGAACTACTAAGAAAGACTAACATCAAAGGTTACCAAGATGATCACCTACACCAGAATTACTAAGAAAGACTAACATCAAAGGTTACCAAGACGATCACCTACACCAGAATTACTAAGAAAGACTAACATCAAAGGTTACCAAGACGATCACCTACACCAGAATTACTAAGAAAGACTAACATCAAAGGTTACCAAGATGATCACCAACACCAGAACTACTAAGAAAGACTAACATCAAAGGTTACCAAGACGATCACCTACACCAGAACTACTAAGAAAGACTAACATCAAAGGTTACCAAGACGATCACCTACACCAGAATTACTAAGAAAGACTAACATCAAAGGTTACCAAGACGATCACCAACACCAGAACTACTAAAAAGACTAACATCAAAGGTTACCAAGACGATCACCTACACCAGAATTACTAAGAAAGACTAACATCAAAGGTTACCAAGATGATCACCTACACCAGAATTACTAAGAAAGACTAACATCAAAGTGATTGTTTAGACTTTGAATGTATGCCTTAGTTACATTAATATGATTCTTCAATCAAATAGTAAAAATTAAAAACTACCAATCATAACTAAGATTCATACAGAAACAACATCATATTTCATCCTTATTATCATTATTTCATATGGCAATATCACAGACTTAAGTCATCAAATGTTTTTCTGTCTGTACCTGCTAGTACATGTAACACCCACACACCATATAAAGCATGTCCTCTGAAATCAAAGTCTCAAATAATTTTACAATATGTACTTACTACTCAAACACCATAAAAAGTATGCTATGACCTCAGAACTGTTAGACTCTAAATATTTCACTATGTACTTACTACTCAAACACCATATAAAGCATGCCCTCTGAACTGTAGGTCTCTAATAATTCTACAATATGTACTTACTACTCAAACACCATATAAAGCATGCCCTCTGAACTGTAGGTCTCTAATAATTCTACAATATGTACTTACTACTCAAACACCATATAAAGCATGCCCTCTGAACTGTAGGTCTCTAATAATTCTACAATATGTACTTACTACTCAAACACCATATAAAGCATGCCCTCTGAACTGTAGGTCTCTAATAATTCTACAATGTGCTGGTGCTTTAGTAGATGGCATATACTAGCCTCTCTCTTCAAGTCTAAAATAGAACCATAATATATTATTATCATTTATATCAAGCTATATCCATGGTTATATTCACTGTGCAATTAATTTTTCAATTGTAATCAACTTTAACATTTCTCCATCTATTTGTTACCAAAATTTAATGAACCTGTGATTACAGTGGTTCTCAGTAAATGATTGGCTGTTACTGTGAAAAGAGCTTCAGATGATAAAATTTAGGCTGTAACTGTGAAAAGCACTTCGGATGATAAAATTTATAAAGTGTAATTTTCATTTTTTAACAGAACTGAGTTGATATGGCTGCTGGTGGACTATTAGTACCCAATACCTTTCTTAAATTGTCCGTTAAATAGATTAAAAATTTCTTAAGAAATTAAGGTTCCAACTCCCTCAGGCAAAGTTAACTTTAGATGGATTTGGCTATTACTTTTAGGTCCAATTTGGTAATAGCTCTTCATGTGTTTCAGTTCTAATTCATCATAGGCTTTCAAATATTTGGCTTTGAGGGTTCCTGATGACGGTAAATTCAGAAAAGCTTTTCGATGCATAAAATTGATAAAGTGTTATTTTCATTTAAGGAATAATAGTACTGTATTTGAAGAGTTACCACCGTCAATAGGTGATTTGACCATCGCAAATGCAGTTTTACTGCAGATTCATAGCAGAGCCAGTAAAATCCGAAATTGGCGGTGGCAACAATGATACAGTACAGTTATTTCTATTCTAATGCAATACTCTTAAAATGTTCAATATTAAACATTTCAAATATCCCGTAAACCTCGACTGGGATTGCACAACTTTGTTGCTAATGACTGACCGTCAACCGTGGAATTGATGGTAGATGTCAATCGATCAAATTGGGGTTACAATACCAACTGAAAAGGATGAAAATTAATAGAAAATTAGGATCATTGGTATGTAAAACTTTTCTAGATACCTTGTGCCTTCATAATGATAGGACAAACATATGTATGTGTTTAGTATTTCTTTGTGTTACTATGATTCAACATGGCTTTAATCATGAATTTGTGCATTTTGATAGAATAACCTTGTAGCAAAACCATTGATTAGTTATTAAAGAAATCCTATAAAAAAATAAAGAGGGAAGTTCAAAAATGTTCAGACCTGCCAACTATCCCGATTTAAGGGAGATATCCCCCATGAGAGGTGTTGACCTGAATTATGAAATTCTTTATTTTTTAAACTGAACACATCAAAACAGGCTTTCAAATGAGTTAAAAGGGTAATTATAAGGCACATATATACTTGTTCAAACAATAGTGTAGTAGATTAAAAACACTTATGACAATATGAGAGGAGCATTAGGTCCTCTTGTGCTGAAAAGTTGGCAGGTATGCAAAATTAAGGGAGGTTAGGCAACCCTTAAAACAAACATATTTTTATTTGGCTTACAGGAATGTCATCTTGATCTTGTAATATTTACATAGGCTAACTATTATAACAGAACAGACAACTATATTGTAAATATACCTATGTCTGTAACAATAAGAACCTTCTGCCAACCTAAGAGGTTAATAAACAAAACTGACCATTCCTAAACAAATGGTGTGATATCTACAATAAACATGTTTACCTAATTCACTTGTAATTGCAGGGCTTAACTTCAAAAAGAAACAAAATATTTTCAGAGTAAAATCAAACACTTGACTTCACCTTTATTTTTTTTTATGCATTCAATAAATATAAAATTGAATTTAAAATGAGCAACCTGGCTGAATCAACAATGCAGAACTTCCATAATTCATGCATAAGTGATGTTGTCCATATAACAGGAATTCCCATGTCTGCAGTCTGAATGAAAAGAGTCGATCAACCAGAACAAAATACAAACTTTACCTGATCTCTATATATATACATTACAAAAAAGTGAAAAGACATACAATTTTTGTAAAATTTTCTAAGACTAAGGGGTGTTTACTGGAACAAATAAAAATATGGATCTGTAAGTCCCCATTAATGTATCAAAAATCAGATCAATATTTGCAACCCCCAAAAAATTCAACAGTTGTTTTGAAAAATGATGGAAAGATGGGAGAATGGAAGAACAGCCATGGGTAGCACAATATGCACAAGCCACTTGGTGACAGGGGGCATAAAAATATCAAACCTTCTGTGCTGAGCCCAGGACTGGACGTGAACTTGGCCACATCTACAATCTTTACAGCAAACTGCTGTCCAGTTTCTTTGTGCAGACATCTCTTTACTACACTGTATGGACCTCTAGAAATAAAAAAGAAGATTCATCTAAAATATTGAATGGAGAGCAGTTATCGTTAATTGTGAACTTAATACATTCTTAATTTGGGCTGATATATTCATGTAATCTCATGGTGATTAGATTCATTGGAGAAATTCATACTTCCCCACTTCAATACAAACGGACAAATTTGTATTGTGCTTTTCCAGCAATTGTGTCATGAATGCAGAAAAACCCTGACAACCTTTTTGAGACTTGATTAGGCAATGGGACGTCAAAAACTTTTTCTAAGATTTTATGCCCATCTCAACATTGTCGAATCACACAGCAATTAGAAGGAGAAATGGGACTCATGGCAAATTGTGGAATTAAACAGGGGCGACAAAGTGAAAACATATAGCTCCAACATCTTCAATGCAGGGCAACATTAATAGGATATATACATCATTTCTATAGCTACACCCAAAATGTCCACTAAAATAAATCCAAAACAAAAAGTCAGAGATTGTACATTGCTCATAATGTGTATACAGCAGAAAAGTGGTTCCAAAAACTGAAAACATGATTTTTCTATTCTTATTATGACATCAGGGGTTTCAAAATTTATGACAAGAAGGGTACTTATGTTTCCTTTAGAAAATTTTTCTTTACTTGATTCTGATGTTCTGTTGAGTACTTGTTATGGAGTATATTTTTCTCAGTTAGTTTGACAATCCCTTCTTTTTGTAATTACAGCTCAGAATTTTGTTTTTAATAAATGGAACATTTTTAGCATAATAGGAATATATAAACTTTTTAAAAATAATTATTAATTATTCACTAGTCCTCAACTTTTAAATATAAAAGATACAATGCTGTATTTGCCTCTCCAATTCAATTTTACAATGTCCAAATTTCCTAGAACAGCTTACCCGAGTGAGCTCTGTAAATGTTCTGAACAGGAGCATGGTGCAGGTGGCTTTTTATAATCCAAGACGTCAATCCGACAATCAAAACAGGACATTTTCTATCATGTTTATTTACAAGAGTTCAAATTGAACTATGAATTTACAACATATGTATAAGTCCTTAATTTTGTATGAAGACAATATCCACTTTTACAATATATGAAATTCAATAACACTTTTATGTAAGACAATTACAAGAACATCCACAGTCAAAACTGATACCAACATATATCAATGTATTTTCCCCAAAGAAAATTAGTTTTGTGCATATTTGCAAGAAAATAAATTCCCAAAAGATGAAACAAGAAACTAATCAATACACAAATAAGTCCCAAAACATGTATAAGAATCCAGGTATGACATCTGACCTGATAAAACCTCATTATCATGTAGATCTAATTATCACCTATCATCATATAATCACACTTGGTCAGTGTTTACTATTATAAACAAATTATGTAATGTCCGAATTCTTCTGTCTGTAGAGGTCCCAAAAGGGGTAGAGAACCATGACGAGTTTACTCACTGCATCACCAATCATTTAGAAACAAAATATCTTCATAAACTTATATATATATACCTGGTATTGAATATTGATTCAGGATTAGTAACTGTTGATGCTAATAAATAACCCCTGAGATTGACCCCAAACTTGATTATTTATTGAAGAGAAACAACTTCACTCCTCTCGAGGGAGAAACATTGCATGCAGGCATCTATCTGGTATATCTTAACAAAAGTAAAAGATAGCCTTCAATTTATGAAATGATGATATTATGTTACAACAGAGGATTATTACTCTAAATATGGCGCTGATGAAAACAGTTATTTTCACATCAAAGGGCAATAACTTCTCAATATCAATACAAATTTACAACACTTAACAAATTAATTGCCAATTTCAATTTAAATTGATTTTCACAATATAATGACAATTAACCCTTTAAAATACATATATAAAGAATTATTTTGCTTTTACCCAAAAAATTATTATCCCATAAAGTTTTTTGGGGTCTATGTCGTTGGGTTGTCGCATTCATATAATACACCTCCTTTTATTCTTATATAACAATACCTACAGATATCTAATCAAAGTTTCTTTGCAGGGAAACAGCTCATAACAGATTTCTATGTATTTGGTTTGTCCAACCTATTCCTAGTGATAAGTGACACCCTGGTTGTCCCTTCAATATCAACATATTAAATAACAATGGATAAATATATATCAAACAGGATTTTATTTTTTTTTTTGCAAACAAAGTCAGTCCTGTCGACTTTTATAGTCAATTAGGGGCCTCTATGTCCGAGTGGTCTAAGTAGTCCAACTACTGTATCACTATTCAGTCAACACTGCGGTTGAGAGTTCAAATTCAGCACATTGCAGGTGGGCTTGACTCAAATTTTATTTAGGATTGTCAGTTTTCCTAGTGAAGGTGGTGGTTCTCTCTGGGCACTCTGGCTTCCTCCACTAATAAAAATTGACCGCGACCAAATAGCACAAACACCAATCAATCAATCGACCTTTAACTCCATTTACTGATAACAGTAAGTTAAAAACTTGACATGCAGTTTAACCTGTACTTATGTAAATACATACCCCAGACATGTATATAGATGCTCTGTACATCGACACTGTGTATGTCCAACATTTACCACACTTTCCAAATGAGGCACTATGAATTTCATGATTTTTTTTTTAAATAAGTATCTTTTCACAATATAAACAAATAAAACTTGAAAGACATTTTCCACAGCAAGGTACTTCCAAAGTTAAATGGCATATCCAATGTTGATAATCTTATTTAAAAACATTTACTTATTCTATTATATCACTTTTTATTATTCCAAAAATCTATACAGCAGATACTGATTATTAAAATATCATACAGTACTGTAGACATATGTTTAGCTCTGTGCAGAGGACATTTAATTATTCACAATTATTGACACTTTTTTTAATAGCTTACTGGTTTATTTCAAAGACAACAATGAATTACAAGCAGAAAACTTTCTTACTGTGAATTATTCTTTTTCTAAACTTTATAATGCCTTTACTTTTTATTACCTCTCTGTAAGAATAATCTAATTTGATTGACTAAAGCTAATTAAAATATTAAATCCTACAGTCAAATATTTGTTTATAGGTGTTTTATTTAATCATCAAAGTGGACAATATCAAAATATTGAAAACAAAGCCATGTGATACAAAAGGTCAATTCCGTTCATTTGCAATCCTGATTTTACTGTTAATTCAGTTTATTTAGAATAACTTATATTACATAAGATTAATTGAACAAATAATCATTTTTGTTTTGATTTCTTCTTTCTCTCTGACAGATGGATCAATATATGCTCCATAGGTAAACAAAGAATTAAAATGGCTAGCGTGTAGGTACAAGATTCAGAGAGCAACATCTGTTCTTTCTAAACAACAAATTTATGAATGCCTAGTCTCTTTTTCATATGGAAACTATTGCTTCTCTGCCAGATTGTCCCTTTAAAACGAAACCTAACATTTGAATTTCCCTTTTTCAATTGCAGTGGATTTTAAAACAATATTTGAAGATTTTTGCATTAATATTGTCTTAGCATATGGTTAAAGGGGAATAACTCAATACTAAAAAAGAAAAAGAAATTATTAACTGCATGTCATGTTGATGATCCTTTTAGTTATATATGACTTTGAATATTTGTTTATCTGATGCCTAACATTATTATTAAGATTGGAATCATAACTGTAGAGCACTAGTAATTTTACCAATATCTTTGTACACAAACTGATATGTTTTTCTACTCAAATATTTTGTCAGTTCTACTGAAATTTAGGTACACACGCTCATCTATTTTGCTACTTTGAATATTTTGTTTATAATGTCATTTCTTATATTACTAAAAAAAGCTCTAAACTTGAATTTAATTAACCTATATATTGTTGTAAAGGTTGACAGCCATACCATGTAATATCAATATCCTGTAAGTATCGATCCACTACTTTTGATCATTTTTTCGCTACATCATTAAAATCTTCACAAAATGTAAAGCGTGGCAGATTTATATCTTTTTATTAAAATAGCATAACAGATCTTTAAAGGCGAAATATCACTTCTTTTTAAAAACTTCATTTATTAATTAAAATAAGATACTTTTGTTTCAAACTATAAAAATATCTGACATTTGTACTTATGGTAAATCCAAGAAATGTTTCTTGTTATAAACTACTCATCAATAAAAAATGTGAACAAACAAAATTGTTAGGACTACATGTACATGAATAAGAAAGCAACCAAATAACACCAAAAACAATCCAAAACATCCTCAAAGAATTTTAATCACAACTAAGTAAAGGTACACTCATTTTCAGTTGAAGCAGAGATGGATAAACAGTTTTTAAATATAAGCAGTAATATTATTTCAAAAATGAAGTGGAAAAAGAAATTTTCTCCTTATTTGTCTTCAATTCTTGTCAACATTTAAAGATCCTTATTTTCAGACAAAAAATTTCAACGCATGCAATGACACTATATATCTACTTTTAATACAAATAATTTGCCAGAATATTATACATGTGTTTATATCTCATAGATACATTGCCAAAAATGAAAATCTGTCTCTAAACTTGTATACATGCAGTTTTTCCAAAGTATAGTAATTGAAACTTTATATATACTAGAACACACCCGCGAAATCGCGGGCATTTAAAGTGTGGATGGAAGTATGTTAACTGTTGTAGGATGAATTTCTGTAAAAGATTTTATGACTGGAGAATTTCAGGATAGGTATCAAAAGTTATAGGTACTTGGTGAAAGGTCATTTTTTTTAGCCATCCCCCTTTTTTCCAAAGTCTGTTATTTTTTGTTTTCTGTTTTTCTGTATACTTTGAACATACATATACTATAAATAATAAAGTGTATTTGCTATTTACTATCAATTCCAAGTTGTAATACTTTCCTAGGCGATACAGTCATTATAGAGACTCTCTATATAATATATCAGTGACAGTCGCAGATAGTAAACTTTGAATTGATAGTAAATAGCAAATACACTTAATTTATTGTATATGTATGATCATGGTGTACAGAAAAACACGAAAAATAATTGTCCTGTCCCCAAGTACTTATGAAAATTATGTGTAATTTTAAAAAACAGTACTAAACGGAAGTCTAGTCCATGACATAAAAGTCCGTCCGATGACGGAAACAATATTCGGACGCCTTTATTTTCTCCCAAAATAATCCAAACTGAATAATCATAAGCGAGGATGACAAATGCGACTATGCATGGTACCTATTGGACACAGAGGCATGATGATTAATTTATTGTGGAAAGAAGAGAAGCGACACACAAAATGAGGTCTTCTCATTTAATAGTATATATACTTTATATACTGTTGTATACATATCTGTTCTGTGGTCCAGGGAGACAGTTATCGTCCTTTGATTTTCGTTTTCTACAAATACAGTCCCTTGTGTGGACAGTGTATAACTTGCAAATTATTTCTTTACCGTATGTAAATTCATGGATAAAATAGTACGTAAGGGGATGAAAAACATGTAACATGTAAAATAAAATGCAGCGCTGAGGGCAGCTGGATACGACCGCAGAGGTCCAACCCTGAACAGTTGGGGTGAAAATGGACACAATATTCGCGCTTGATACATGTCTGAATTTGGATTGTAATTAAATATTTGACACATAATAGGTTTCTGACACTGAATAACTGTAGTCAAAGAACTTAGAATTGATTATATGATTTGAATTTATATTTAATTTTCTGCTTTTGTGAAATACACTATGCTGTTGGGTATTGACCACCACCCCCCCCCCCCCCCCCCCCTTTCCCGCTTACAAAAAAATTTTATTTTTAATTTCTGAAATGAAAAAAAAAAATTGCCCTCCCCCCCCCCCCCCCCACCCCCCCTCCCCCTTTTCCAAAAAAAAAAATTCTTTCCCTCAAGATATGGTCATAATCTCAATTCAAATTTCCAATGGAGTTTGCAACCATAGTTACCAATTTAAATACAGCATAAAAGTCTTAGATATATAATTTAAAAGCAGTGTTAGGGAGGTAATCCAACATTGTACAACATTGTACAATTTTGTTTACCTCCCTTACACTGCTTTTAAATTGTCCATTAACCAGGAAACCCTTGTTTTTTCCCCTTTTTTTCCCCTAATTCCTAAACGGTTTGAGACATTACCCCCCAAAGCCAATCCTAACCATCCCTTTGTGGTATGGAAACTTGTGGTATAATTTCAGAGAGATCCATACACTTAAACACAAGTTATTGTCTGGCAGTTACAAAAATGCTTATTTTGGCCCCTTTTTGGCCCCTAATTCCTGAACTGTTAGAAACATAACCCCCCAAATCAATCCCAACCTTCCTTTTGTGGTATTGAACCTTATGGTAAAATTTCATAGAGATCCATTAACTTAAACTAAAGTTATTGTGCGAAAACCAATGTGTCTTTGGACGACGACGTCGACGACTACAACGACGCCAACGTCATACCAATATACCACCGCAAATAAAAATTTGGGCAATGAATTTTTAGATCAAGTAGTGGTTTGGTTCAGTGTGTAAAGGTAACAAAATAGTATGTCTGAAGCTGTAAAACTGAATTATAGACCCCCTTAACATAAAATTGCCCATATTTTGAGTTAGAGCTGATAGACTTTTCTTTAATTTTGATATAATTTCTCCCATTTTGGTTGTATTGGTCTTGTTCTGTAAAGTAAAATTTCCACATTGATTTTTCACAACACAACTCTTGAAGACTTCTAAGTAGTGGCAGTCATCTTGGAAGCTGTCCCAAAATCATGACATGACATAACCGCAGTTGAAAAATATTTTAAGGGGATGTTTCTTATTTCAAAGTAAGAGATAAGTAATCAAGTATACCCAAGTATTTATATGACTTTTTGCATTAATGCATTCTATCTTTTTACATAACTTCTAAAATTAACTGAGATATACAAATATATTTCAAATTACTTTGAAATAGTTTGGCTTCATCATTTTTATTGGCCAAATTAATGATAATATCACATTCAAATCTTAGAAAAGTTTTTATTGACCTGATGGCATAGTTTTTCTATATAATTCAAGATATGATTCTTTTCAGTTATGATTTCAAACAGTAGTCCCAGGTTTAGCCATGTCCATATCTAGTTCCTACATTATGTGCCCTCAATTCATATATATCACAAGTTTATGGGGATTTTATAGTGCATAATTACTCCCCATTAAACATTATTTCACATGTGCATTAAACTTAATGTTACTTCCATTTTCATAATGCTTTCTTCCTCTAAAATAGATTTCTTTATTAGATAAAGTGTGACTGAATTAAGCTTACATTAATATATTTCATCAGCAATTACAATAACTATGGGACCTATTAGGATATTTCATGCTTCATAAGCTAACAATGCCTATATTTTTTTTAATCTTCACAGCCCACCTATAACAATATAATTGGCTGCTATCAAAATGGTTAGAAAATAACAATTTAAAATGCAATTAAGAGTGAAAATTGCTAAAAAAATCAATGCCATTTAGAATCAATTACTTGATGTTTGAAAGCTGAAATTTGACTTTACGCAAGTTTTCATGAATACAAATTATGATTGTTATTCTGTCAATTGCTCAAAACCAACACGATTTCTTCATTAAATGTCATTTGACAGAAAATTTGATAATCGGTCAAAAACAAATCCACAAAAATATCAAAAAAATATCACGAATACAAAAATTCTTTCATGAGGCTTTCAAACAACAAAAGTGTCCTCTAATCAAATAGAATCACCTGTTTAAGGAGACCACTTTAGATTCACTAATTTGGAAGGATCAATTTCCATTCTGGTTTGGAGGGACCATTTTTTGGTACAAAATATAATGCTTATTATAAGCAGCTGGGTAGGAAAAGGGATCTTAAGCATGATAACAGTTAAAACTCTTTACCATGCAAGGCTTTTTTAAAATTAACAAATATATCTAAATATATAATGTATCATATCAAACTAAAAGTTTTCAAATTGAAAGATTTTGTTTATATGAATTTCTCTCACCAAGTTCTAAGAATACAATTGATCAGATACTCAAGAGTTCTCGAAAAGTGGTGGTCCGAAGGTTTTGACCACCAAAAGTTTCAAAGGACTGACAATATTTTGGTATTTTGCAATAGAAATAATAGTGAGGACCAGCAAATTTTCTTCAAGGACCACCACTGACAAAAATATTTCGAGAACTCTGGATACTTATTTAAAAGACCAAAAAGAATAAGCAAATTCAACAATGCTTGACCTAAAATATCAAAGATATTTATATGCTTATAAAGTAGAATTTAAAATATGAAAAGTCTACAAGTCCCACACCTAATGAATGAACTCAGCATTTGAACAGTGTTAAATTCCAAGATATAGAAGCATGACTTAGAAGTAAGAGCCTCATACAGCTTGACCTGTGATTCCTAAATACTTATATACCAGCATCCTCAATATCAATGGTCCATCATAAGTGGTCATAGGCGGATCCAGGGGGCCCTGGGGGGCCTGGGCCCCTCTTTTGTGGGAAAAATTTTGGTTGATTATATAGGGAATCACTGAAGCATGACATGTTGGTTTTGTGGAGAAAAAGCAAATAATAAGTAAGGTCCTTTTAAAAATAAGAGGGGGCCTCAGTGGCCGAGTGGTCTAAGTAGTCGAACTACTGTATCACTAGACTGTCAACACTGAGGTTGTGAGTTTCAAATCGCTTAAGTGGCAGGTGCGGTCGACTCCAATCTTAATTGACTAGGTTTGTCAGTGTTCCTATCAAAGGTCAGTGGTTTTCTCCGGGGACTCCATTTTGTCCACCAATAAAAACCGACCATCACGAAATAACATAATAGTGCTGAAAGTGGCCTTAAACACCAATCAATCAATCTAAAAATAAGAAGATGTGGTATGATTGTCAATGAGACAACTATCCACCAGAAACCTAATGACGTATATGTAAGCAGCTATAGGTCACCGTAAGGCCTTCAGGAATGAGCAAAACCAATAACGTATAGTAAGCTTGATAGATGCATAGATGCTAATGGTATAGTTAATTAGATATCAATGGTGACAGGTCTAGCATAACTTTTTGGTCAATAAATTTAATAATTAATTATCCAATCTTCCTTTCCTCAAATGTGACATCACCAAGTTTGTACTTACATGAGCAACATCACAATGCCACCTGTGGAGTAAGATCTGCTTACCCTTCCGAACCACCTGAGATCACCTTCATTGACTTAAAGAGTTTGATTATATTTGTATCTATGTCACTGGTGGCATCATCATTCCAAAAAATAATACACATATATCTCACTTATTTCTGCTTAGACAAAAAAACATGTACTTACTTTCCTATTGTTTCATACAATTCATAAACATCATCAAACAATACTTCATCATCAGACGACATCTTTCTTATTCCTGCAAAGAGAATTTAGAAAGTCACTAAGTTTTTTGTCACTACTTCTAATGATTATGCTATTAGGGGTTCTGATAGTGCATTTGAACTTAAACATCATTGAACTAATTTCATCATATGACAACATCTTTGTAACATAGATTTAATAATAACGATAAAAAAATCTGTTCTTTGCTTTGTGTTTTGTAAAGTCATGTAGGATTTTTTGTCATGAATCAACTACACAATATCCCTTCTTTTTCCTTTTTAGAAGATATTTAGGTCATTGTAATTTGTGGTATTTCAGTTTCTTTGATCACTAAAAAAAATCCTTCATGATCCTTCATCATTTTACTAAAGTTGATTAGTGCTTTACATGTAATACAGACATTGCATATTTGATATTGAACCTCTAGGTGTATTTTTGTTAGTGTTTTGGGTTTGCTATTTCATTGATTAAATATCCTATAGCTTTACAAAGTTATTTTGGTTTCTGTAATAAAGTTTTAAACATATGAAATAGGTTAAGATTAACTGACATCTTTGTTACATAGAGAAATAATTCAGTCAATTGACCAAATATGGTAGTTACTCGAACTGTTTGATAAGCATAGTCACAAAAATAAATTTTGTCAATAACAGGAGATTTTTTAAAACTGGTATTTGCTCAGCTAATTTTCAAATGCAGATGAATTCTACATTTTCATTTAAGCTTTGGGTCTATGAAAACAAGTGACTTAATTGATACTGTTATACAAATTATATTTTAATTTGGCAACATGGTTCTCATCTATGGGAAATAGAAAAGAGAAATTTAGATTTAAGCTCAAAATGAACTTCATTATCTAAAACCATGCATTGTTATCTTACAGCTGGATACTGCATTTTAAAATAAAATATCAAATTAAGGTGAAAATTTGATTAAAAACAGCCTCTTGATATCACAAGCAAAAATTTAAGAGACTGGTCCATCATATCGGATCTTTTGTCCACATACTTTGTCATTTCATCTGCCATATTAGTTTGCTTAATCTATATGTAAAGTTATTTTTCATAATGATTTACAGAATGATCCATGGTTCAATAAAAATATTACACCAGTAGTTGTTAAGCAAGAAACATAACACATACTCCACACAGAACAGGATTCATCACAGACAGGTGCTCCAGATTATCTGGATGTTTTGGGATCTATAAAACTGTTACATTTACTACTTCAATTTACTTTCTTTTTAGTTTGAAAGTGTTATAAGTGGGAGAGGCAGGCTTAGAATTCTTGTGACCACATATAATAACTGTATAAAAACACTGAAATTTCCATTGGTGTTATTCTGGTAATACCTCAATAAGAGCCATGTCAAGGTGAACTATATATGAAAGATTACTCCAGGCTTCTACAAAATGGATTCCAAAGCTTAGCCAAGGTTTGTTTGATACATTACCCAAAGAATTTAAATGATTTACAAAAAGGAAAGGGCAGTTAAGTTAAAATAGTGATGACCCCTTTTCATGAGTATTAAAGTTGGGCTTTGAATCACAGTTCTTGTTAAGTGGCAAAAATCATTATTTAGTAAACAAGATGAAAAGTTATCACATTCCGGACTATTACTGGTAAATGTAGACAGAGAAAAAAAAAACGACAATAATTTTGTGGTATACACTTTTCACTTAACCAAAAGGATTATAGTAAAGCTAGATGACATTGTTTAATGAATCAGACTTACCCAAGTGTTCAAAAGAATAAATCTTGGGTGTATTTGCACTCAGTAAATTTACTTTCCGTCACAAATAGAGTCCATCATTGATTTGTCCAAACACTGAATGTCCAACATAGAGATGGTTTCATTATATAGCTAATAACCTAACACACTGATCTTTACTTCATCGATGAAATGCATGCAATAAAACGTACCTATATTGCTCTTATTATTTTCCAATCATATCACAAACTGTCAATTTTTTTCTGTGATTTTGAATACACTTGGGACATTTTTAGCATGCGATAATTACAGTTTTGATACAATGGAGAAATTTGATTGCTGATCAACTAACACAAATTATACAGGTTATTGTACAAATTAACCAATAATTGAGTTTAAAATGGAAAGTAGACAAATAAATGATATAATTTGATATGAAAAATGCCATACAATTATTGTATATTATACATGTTACAGAGCAAACAAGTAAAAGTAATTGGTATATTCCTAATAGACTGAAATTTAATCCGTCAATAAATGTCAGATAATTGACCATTAGGATGATAAATGGTCAGGAAGTGAGAGTGTAAAAAACATAGTTCTAGATTAATACTTTTCAAACAATTCAGTTCCAAATTATAGTTCTATATTAATATTTTCCATACAATTCAGTTCCAGATCATAGTTCTGTTCTATATCAATATTTTCTATACAATTCGGTTTCAGATTAACTCAGATTAAGAGAGAAGTCAAAATGAAGAAGTGACATCAAGAGTGTCACTGTCAGTGTCTGTCTTTCAATGAAAAATCTAAACGTTCAGAATCAGTATTACAAAACTAAGAGCTTCCATAATCCCTGTACTGTTCACTTGGTATCTATGCCAAACATCAAGAATAGCTCCTCTCAAACCCCTGCTAGTCCATGTGCTTTCTTATATCAGACTATTGTGCATAAAAACATAAGAATTCATTGTTATCTGTCAATGTTAGAATCAGAGGGCAGCAGAAACTAACACTATCAATCATTTATCAGTTTGATGCACAAGATTTGGAATACTGATGTCTATCCCATGTCTCTTCTGTCTTGCCTAATGTCAAAATAAATATCTTATTAATAAAGTAATGAAGTATGTTAACTCCATTCAAGCAGGGGGGGGGGGGGGGGGGGGGGGAGGATGCACATTTAGCTTGCCATCTCCTAAATCAGAAAAACTATAATTTATGACATACAAGTCACTATTATTAAGGTCGCACCCACTAACTCAAATCCTGGAACCCAGCTCCAAAGTTAAACCTTGAAATTATAATGTGATGTTCAATGTAAATCCACACAGATCTTCGGATTGTTAACAATTAATCACAGTTACAAGTCATTTATCTTCACAGTATAAATATGCAGAAGACATCAGGAATAACCTCCCTGAGTTCTGGACTAATGAGTTCTGGAGTAAGCATTTAAAAGACTTGTCAAAGATTAGAATTTTCTATTCTTCCTATGGTGGTTCTCAACACCATGAATTGACAATTGGCAATACAAAGATACATGTAAAATGATTGACAAAATGAAAATATTATAACATGAGTCAACTCTTACATGCTTGAGTGTTGACAAAAATTAAAGATCTTACCTTACATGGATGTCAAAAATGACTAAAATAATGATCCATGGTTTCTTGTAGAAATTGATAGATTTTGCTTCTGCATGTTGTCAAGAGAGAAATAATTGAATGAAGTTAGAGAATAATCCTCACAGGAACCGGAGTAACAAGATTAATTCCATGATAGGAATGACAATATGGAAACAGTTTACACACAAATTGAAAGTAACAATGAAGATCAGCATTGAAATTAGTACAAAGTAATACAAACCCTATTCAACCTTCTTCAAAGATTTCAATTGGCTCATTTATTTTCGTCTAAATGAGAAATGAATTGTCTTGGAATATGAAATTTCTAAATCAAAAACCCAAATACATTAATCCTGTGAGATGTTTTGAACTAGTTCCTTTGTCAGGTTTAATTTACTCCAAATCTTAATGATTGATTGTACTTCATTTTATGGAGTTTATTTAGGACTTTCTGGTCTGGATAACAAGAGGCTTACAGTTACTATATTAAGGCCACATTATTAACATAAATAACTGGTTGCTGATAAGCAAGAAGTACTGTTGATGCATTGTTTTAAACTTATTAGAAAGTATCATCAAGGTTAGCCACAAGGTTTGATTATCATTTATGTGGACTAGTACCTTACCAATTTGTAGGTTGTAATTTTCTATATATATCTATACCTTATATAATTACTGTTGTCAGAGATATGTCTCGATTGTGCAACATGTGAACTATGCAAAATTTAAAAAGTCAATGGCCCACAACTGAGGGGGAAGGACCTAATAAGACTCCATGGAAATAAGATGTGCCAATTTTAATACAACTACCTACCAAATACCACTGATTTACCATTAGTGGTTCACCTTAACTAACCTTTAAAATAATTACAAACTTTAAACCTCAGAAGCTAAGGCTTTTCGTTAAGAGTTGATATGCAATACTTGTACCGTCAACATATATTCCAATGATAAGCCACAGGAGATATAGACTTAGGCATGCTGTTTTCAGCTTCTGAGGCGTTTAAAAGGTAACTGATATGATTTTTAACATACCTTTTTTAAAATATTGGTTTTATATAAATTTAAAAATCATTACGAAACAAAGGTCCCAACTCCCTCAAAGTTGATCATAGACCAATTTTGCTAATATCTAAGGTCCTTTTTGGCCGTATAGCTCTTTACATGGTGTGGTACTTAAACATCCTTGGCTTTCAAATTATTGGCTTTGAGAGTTCCTGATGGAGGTAAATCCAGAAAAGGGCCTCAGACATAAATAAATGTGGATAGTGTCCACATGTGGACACAGATGATGCCCCCGCTTGCATATCATATAGTTATAAAGGGACATAACTGAAGAACGGTAAAAGTGACGCTACCCAAATTTGAACTTGATCTGAGTTTTGTGGTAATAAGCATTGTGTATAAGTTTTACAGCATTTGGTTGAGACAAACTAAAATAAAATGCTCCGCAGGGCGCAGCTTGATACGACCGCAGAGGTCGAACCCTGAACAGTTGGGGCAAGTATGGACACAACATTCAAGCTTGATACAGCTCTGAATTTGGATTGTGATTAAATATTTGACACAGCATAGGTTTCTGACACAGAATGAATGTGGTCTAAGAACTTAAAAATTTTAAATTGGACATTCAACTATTATGGTCCAATATCCAAAATCTAAATACATGGTTAGATTCAGCATATCAAAGAACCC